ATCTAATTCACATCATTAATTAGATTGGACCGAAAACTTCTTCCTTTCCCATGTCGCTTGTGCTAAGTGAAATGCATTCGGATGTTGTTTTAAGAACTCAGACACTGTACGCAGACTAACCACACCCATTGGATAACTTTTGTCACCTCTCTTTTTTCTTTTTATTCTTTTATATAAAAAAATTATTTCTTTTTGTTTTTTTTTCCCTTTCTCCACTCAACTTTGAAACAAGGTGTGAAACTAAGATGTCCTTTTCGGCTTCGTTTGTTAGTGTTTTGCAAATACATTTTCAGTATTTTATTTAAAAATATAAATTTATAATTTTAAATTAATTTTATGTATTTTTATTAATTTAATTAATATTTTATATATTTTGAGAAAAAAAGAGATAAAAATAACTTATAATTATGTTATAGTGTAACAAAACACCACATTGAAAAACAAAGCCTTTATCTTAAATTATTTTGTTAATCTTTGTTAACTGATTTTTATAATTTTCCCGAGAAAAAAGAACAAAAAAGCAACAATAATTCACAAATGCATGGAAAATATCTAATCCACTTTTAGACTCTAATTAATAGGGTTAGTAAAATCTTCCAATAATCATATCAATGACCAATGGCTAAAATAATAACAATAATAAATTAATAAATTAATAATGATAATAATAATAATAATAATAATAATAATAATATCAAGGACGGGTTAAGGGAATGAAGTCAATAAACAAAAGCTCTCACCTTTCGTGTGACTGTAAAACGCCTCTGGGCCAACAAGAGTAGGTGATTTATTTGGTGGACTCTAGCTGACTGACGAGTGAGGCCTTAATGGAACTTTTACGGCCCATTGAACACTACTTTAGAAGGAGAGGGAAGATTGGGCTTTTGAACTTAAAGAGCCCAATGGTTGGTCTTTTGTTCAAGGTTGAAGAAGGCAGCACCCTAAGCCCAAACCACTAGCCTTTTTCTTTTTTTTTTGGGTGATAATAAATTAATAATCATAATACTAACCATTTTTGAAAAAGTTATTTTTATGTTTAACATTTTTGCAATTTTACAAAACGGATTTGCTCTCTTTGTCTCACCATATTTTTCGTTTTTTTTAACTGCACATAAAAAATTTAGAAATGCTCCTGCAATTTTTTTTTGGTGTGATTACTTGATTCTTTTTTAGATGGCCCAAAAAAAAAATTCTTTTTTGAATTCTATCCTTAAATATTGATGAAAAATATGAAATAAAATATACTATTAATGAAGTTGAGATTTAAATCTATGGTTAAAATAAAAAAATAATTTGTTCATATTTGTAAAAAATACTCTAATTAATTTAATAAAAAGTATAATTTATAATAAGAAAACAAAAAAAAATTAAAATTAAAATAACTTGATACTTTAAATATCAAGAATTTTTATGAAATTATTTATTTATCTTTAATAAACTTTTTTATATATTGATTCATTAAAGGTATTATAGTCTTTTTATTATCAATTTTGGGAGATTTTAATTACAAAACCTTATAATTTTCCTCAACTCCATATAATCATAATACCCTCTTCAATCTTTTTCAGTTGTCTTAATCCTTTAATTTTATATAAATTAACTTAATTATTTTATGTAATAAATAAATAATAATTAAAAAATACTAATCTAAATAAAAATACCTAACTAGTATTATACTATTATGTATAAAAAATTTATAATTATTATTTATTTTATAAAATTATTTAATTAAATTCTATCAAAATATTAAATTAAAACAACTAAATTTAATTATATGTAGAAATAATAATAATAATAATAATAATAATAATAATAAGAAAAATGATGAGTGCACATCCGGATCCCATATTCGGGTGTACACCCTTCATATAAACAAAAAAAAAATGTCCATCACCCAATCCAACTTTTTTTTATTACGTGGGGGTGCACACTCGGGTGTGAGATCCGAGTGTGCACCAGTCATGGTCCTAATAATAAAGGACAGAAACCTTCTGCAGAGGAAGTAATAAAACAATGCCCCTGTTAATTAGTAGCCTAAATATTGACCTTTTGGCCCAACCCCCAGGGACGGACTTAGAAAATTATGTTAGGGGACGAAATTTTTTATTAAGTATTTATGTCTTGAGTATTAATTTATAATCTTCTTAAATTTTTTTCCCTCTTTCCCACCCTTGAAGATAGATTCAATTATAATTGTTTTTTAGTTAACATTTTCTGAGCAAAAACAAGAAATGAATACATTTATCTAAACTAGAGAACAAAAGCCTTATAGTAGTACATTCTAATTTTTTTAATAAATGAATCTTTTTATTAAAAAATCCTTTAGCATTAAGTACATGATTAAAAATCTAATCCTGAAATATCGGGTAAAAAAATAATATGATACCAAAGAGATTGGTAAGTGATTAAATGGAATACTAATTAAGAAAATAAAAAAATTATTAAGAATTAAACCTTATATTATATTTATTGTGAAATAAATTATTTTTTAGTTGAATGAGAAAGAGAATATTAAAACCCTAACTCTAATCAATTAAATTTGTATAAATTTTATAATTTATATTTAAAAACTCTTTACCTAAATTTTAAATATTTTTTTATATTTAAATGTTTCTTATCCTTCAAACTCTAAAGACAGCTGGGACATGCCAATGGGCCTTGAAATTCAACAACGAATCCGTCTAATCAAAGTTTAGTGCATAAATCGTCAAAATCATCGATTCCTAAGCCACTCACATGGTCTTACTTTTTACAGTGGTCAGTCGGTGGCGTGGGGTAGAGTATTTCTTAAAAACGTGAGGTTTTAGGTATCTGGTTATGTAAA